TGTATAATTCTACTCATATTCTGCTATAAGTACCATCATATATACACCTAAGAGAAGCGCAATGATTTCTTTTACAGATTGTCCAAATTTAGTATCAGTTAAAAGTTCTGGGATTACAGACACTGTTGCGATATAAATAAATCCACCTGCTGTGAATGGAAGAATCCACATAGTTGCAAGATCACCTATAAGTACAAATGAATGTTTAATTGAAATCTTAAATTAACTGATTGGGAGTATATATTTTTTACAATATTATAATTCCTTCTTACCCATGCCTTCTGCAAGCAATGATACACAAGTTCCTAATAAAGCACCTACTGCAGTACTAAGCTGAAGCATCATAGCCTGTAAGAAAATAATATAAACATAATTTATTAATACAATATGCTAATAGTTGATTTAATTATTCATTTTTTTAGTATCTTACTTTTCTTTTACTGTAACCACTTTGTATTAAAATAGCAAAATCTCCTATTTCATGAGGTATTTCATGTAGTAAAATTGTGAAAGTAGTAATAAAGCCAATACTGCTACCAGCTAAATAACTGGCTCCTATAGCAAGGCCATCTGTAAAGTTGTGTAAAAAATCTGCTACTAGATTTAAACATCCAGCAATTTTTATTTCATTCTCAGGATGATTTTCAGATTTCTTAGAAACTAGATCAGATGTAACTATACTTTTCTTTGAGTTGCTATCATCTTTCTTTTTTTCCTGTACATTTTCTGGAATGCTATGTACATGTACATGACTATGATCCGTTTTTATAAGTCTTATTACTTTCTCCACAACTAGAAATATAATAATACCTAATAATATACATAAACCAACAGACATATTATGAACATGATCATGTCCTTCCTCATCATGGCTATGAGGTACCAAAGCATGAGGTATTAAGTGTAGAAATGCATCTCCTAATAGTCCACCAGAAGCAAAACTTAATAATATTTTTAATAGCGGCTCGTGCTCTTTTGTGTTGTCCAGTGGAACAAAAAATAAAATAAAAAATGGAGCTGCTGAAATAATTAAGGTAGATGTAATTGCTTTTAGAAATACAAAATCCTCCGGGTTGTCAGATGATATTGACTTATGTCGATGGTCATGTGCATGATGACCGTGCCCATGTTGATGCTGAGTTTCTTGATAATCTTGTGTGGAATGTTCATTTTTTAAATTAGCCTCCTTAGTGTATTTAAAACTTGGTAATTCACTATGACTGTGGGCTTGGCAAAGAGTAGGCAAGTTTAAAAATATCAACAATAGAAGTATTGTAAACACAATTTTTGAAATCCATTTATTTGCACAACTTCGTTGATTAACCTTTATCGTGACCATTTCTACAATCTCACACACACTGACTGAAATATAATTTAATCACGTAGTGTAGTCGATGTATTGTTAACATCCGTACATAAAAACTTCCGAGTCTCAATATTGTAGGTTTGGTGTCCAGGAATGACATATGTACATAAAAATGCAGGTGAAATATCTTATCAAAACGTGGTTAGGTCTGTTTTTTTTACGATGTAAGAACATTGTACAGTATTTACTCCCTAAGCTGACGCACACATCCCCACTATTTTATTACGCATCTTATCCACAGTGGATTCTGTCTCAGTAGTGAATCGTCAGCCAATCAAAGCAAAGAAAATTTCTACATCGATCCTCGCTAACAGATCAAGCTGCGGCCTGAAAGTGTGTAGGAGTAAGACTCATTACTGTACATAATGTTGATAACCTTGGTGAACTGCACTGCTGTACTGATAATAACTTGTCAATATAAGTTTGAAGTATGAAATGAATTTTAAATTTGAGATCGTTACAATGATGATCACATTTGAGGCTAAAAATTATGTTGAATCGCTAATATTAAAATAGAGTTTGTTTAATAGAAACATGCATCTGCGATATATACATGTTAGAGAGAGAAATGTACAATGAGATATTGTACATAGATAAAATATTGTCCCAATGCACAAAACATTGCTTACAGATCAGTTGGTTTCGATTTTACAGTGTTGCCGACTCTAAAAATACAATGTTACCGCGTAAGCTCAAAATTTTCCAGCTCGTCAAATTTCCGGAACAAAGTTTGTAATAAAAAGTTTAAACCAGATTACAAATTATGTTTTTATTTTGTTATTCTTTTACATCATATCTATAATTATTTTCAATGAAGAATTATTAATAAATACAATACAATTTTAATTGACTCGATTGTAAAAACAATTATACAATTATTTGTATTTTTTAAATGTTCCATGTAAGGTATTCTTAACGCTTTACGAAATTTCAGCTTGAGCAGACAAAATTTCATAAAAAAAAAATAGAATTAATGTTAGATTTATATTTTCATATATATATATATTTCATTTAAACAGCAACACCTATACCACTTTCTCTTCTTGGGCTCTCTAACAACTCCAGTTATCGTAGAAACCGTTAAAAGACTGCGTTTTAATATGATATAATTATTATATAAAATATAGCAAATATAATCTTTATTCTACAAATAATATATACAATAATACAAGTGTTTATAAGTAATACTTGTATCGTGTTATAACTTTTTTAGGAATCAATATCTGATTCCGCGGTTTGGCTACATTCGCATATTATACAGATTACAGAAAGTTTATTACTATTTTTACATAATTTACATAATTTTAGATAGCTTAAAGTTCCGAACAGTCCGCATGTTTTTTTTTTACTGAGGATGGCGAACGTTTTTGCCGAAAACTGTGCGGGGCAACTTTAGCTTTCTCTGGGGCAACTCAGGAATACTCCTAAGGAATTATGCCCTACGACTCGTGGATCACGTCTTTACCCATGAACCAACCCTTCGGATTGCCATCGTTGGACGCGTAACCATTTTCTGATAATATTCTCTTGCAGAGCGTTGCATGAATCTCCTCTGTAACATGACGAAAGTAAAGATGAATAACAGTTACAATATTTAATAATTCATAAATTCGTATAATTTCCTATATATGTATAGCATGCACTTGCTTAGTTTCCAAAATATTAAGGAAAAGATATTGTTACTAATACGTTGAATTCCGTTTATATGTGTGAGCCAGTTTCCATACTCATCTAATGTTCTTACATATGTATACATTGTGATAACAAGTGGTCAATACAGAATCGCGCACAGTTGCTTATACGAAACGGTAAGACTCCTGACCAAGCATGGATGGGGTTAGATTTTTGGTGAATTTGTCGAAAAGCTACCATGTCACCAGTTTGGTGTTTAGTCTGGATTAAGAAAGTGTAGGAACAGAGAAGGCCGGTCCAACTATACATACAAAAGTTCATGGGAAATGCAAATTTCTTGCCATCTTGTACAAGTAACTGGGCTCGAGTACTTTATGATTGTACAATCTTTCTTTATAAAAAAATTTTTATACATACCAAGCCTAATCTGTATCTGTATCTGTCTCAGTGTCCATTGTATTTGGTAAAATGATACCTTTTAAATGTTCTGGTATCATTTCCTGTGTTTTGTACATTTGACTATTAAATAATTGTGGGTTAAGATTTTGTACAACTTCAGAATCTGGAAAACATCTGCGTAACATTTCTATGTAGTGATTGAATGTACGAAAATTACGATTATGTTTAAGTATGTGTTGACATAATATTGCTTCTGCTCTTTTAACCCTTTCTGCAAGATCTTTAGATGCTCTTTCCCCATCAGAGTCTAAAAATAATGTTAATTGCTGTTATGCTACATTTCTTTCATTTAAATTATTTGCATATATAATTGTTATTTTAGTTATAAAGTTAATATACAGTTCATACCTTCTTCTTTTGGAACCTTTGTACCTCCTTCGTTTTGAATATGCCTTTCTGTATTCTTGTGCTGTAATAGGCTGCTTCTATTTGCTGTTATAACTTTTTGGCAAATTTTACAGTTTGCTTTCTGAATGTTTTCACATTTTTCAAGCCATGTTGTAAATTCTGGGTCTAGTAGCCACTCATTCTTGAATTCATTCTTACATATCTTCTTGACAGGAGGAGGAGATACACAAGCACTTGTACTTGTACTTGCACTGTCTATTAATGTAAAACTCATTATTACTCAACTTTTTCAAAAAATTGTAATTGTTTAAATTATATTCATACACAAGTACTACATATTTGCCTTACCTGAATCCATACTTCAAGTTAGAATTTCAAAAACTATCTTTGGAAAAATCACAAAGAAAATGGATAAAATCAAACGCACGCCAAACTTTACATTTAGACCATAATATAGTCTAAGCGCCAAACAATAAAAATTATGGAATGATAATGACGCTTCGCCGGCAGTGTTTCCAGATTGCAAAGGAAAACGACGACCAAGACTCAAGTCCATGCTACACGATACGAACATCGTGCGACTGAAGCAACAACGGTCGCATATTTTCGTACTAGCATTTCTATCCCCACCACTTTACTACGCATCCAAGTTCGCGCAGTTGCTTTAAAAAGAAAACGCGATCTAGTGTACATAATATCGAACAGTTGTCGCTTTGGTGCTCCCGGGTGGGGGTAGTAGTGGGGACAACACTAGCCTGAAAATCCGTTATATGCTACTGTGGCGGATTCGCGTGTTGTTTCGTTCCCCTATGTTGGTTCTCTGAGAACTGGGGATTGATGGCGTTTCGGTAGTAATGAGACACGTGGTTTGCCTATCTTCGCAGCGGTGCTTTATTTATCCTCGTGCGTACGTCTTTACTCGTGGGAGGCCTACATTAGACTGAGAGAGAGACTAGTGGTTTAGGTAGGAACGTCTAGTAACTAAATTGTAGGTAGCGCGTGTGCCGCTTGTACGGGCGTACGCCACACTACACGACAGTTAACGCCATCTAACGTAACAATGTGAGGTATCGTGTTCGAATCTTAGCTCTACGATATGAACGGTATAATATCCATTAAAAAACCGCTAAGACTAGATTTGAACATTTTATCCAGCTAGGCTCTTTTTATCCGAATAATAATTTTACAATCTATATTTAAATAATTTATTTAAATAAATAGAATAATTTATGACGAATAATGAATAATCATTATTTAAATAAAATATTCGACTAAAGAGAATTCATTTGGATAACTATCTTAGATAAATATTCGAAACAATCAAAATTGCACACTGCCGAACTCTGGTGGTAGAAATGATCCCAGAATTGTAAGCACTACTGTACATCTAGTAATGAATTATGTTCAATGATTGAACATAATTTGGCGGTAATGCGAATAACGATACATGGTGTGTGTAACTCAGATCAGATATTTGAGTGACTGCTTGGTGCCTTTGTTAAAAGTTAAATATGGGTATTACGGGTTTACTTCCATTCTTAGAAAAATCTTCGAGAAGAACAAATATTAATGAATTCAGTGGTGGTACTGTTGCTATTGACTCTTATTGTTGGCTACATAAAGGTGTTTTTACTTGTGCTGACAAATTGGCCATGGGACAACCGACAGATGCGTAAGAATATTGTCATTGTTTAACTATTATCTATTAAATAGAGTATCGAATAAAAGTTATGTTCTTTTTAGATATGTTCATTATTGTATGAAATTTATATATATGTTACTTAGTCATAAAATTAAACCAATTCTTGTATTCGATGGACGACATTTGCCTGCAAAAGCACTAACTGAGGATAAACGACGAGAGTATGTATACAAATTTAATTGTCTACTATTTACTAAACGAATAATTTTACATCTATATTTTTATCTAGGATTTCGGAAAATAATTTCTGAATTAATATTTAAAAAATCCATAAATTCGCATCTAATTCTACATATATAACAATATCGTACATTTGTAATACTTATTTTAAATTATCTGCAACATTTAATCTTCCGAGTATAATGCAGTCAATGAACTGAGTGCCCAGTGTTATGTATCTGGTCAAGTTAATATCTAATTTTATATTATATTTTTTGTTTAGAGCCAGACAAATTAATCGTAGCAAAGCAATTGAATTAATAAAAATGGGGCAACATGCAGAAGGAAGAAATTTGTTAAGAAGATCTATAGATGTTACACATGAAATGGCTTTGCAATTAATTAAACAATGCCAAAAAATGAATATTGACTGTATTGTAGCACCATATGAGGCAGATGCCCAATTGGCGTATTTAAATATTAGTGGAATTGCTGATGTTGTTATTACAGAAGATAGTGACCTAACATTATTTGGTTGCAAGAAGGTTTCTATCGTTTCATTACAACTTAAATATCTTCATGTTCTGTTTATTTCAATTTGAATACAATATAAATTTTATTTTTACTTATTTTTCCTTTTATCATAGGTATTTTTTAAAATGGATGTATATGGTCATGGTACTTTGGTAGATCAAGAACATTTACATCTTGCTATGGGTCTGCAGGCAGAACAATTTAGTATGGACAGTTTTCGTTATATGTGTATTTTATCAGGCTGTGATTATTTGCCTTCCCTCTCTGGTATTGGGTTGACTAAAGCAAAAAAATTTATTATGTTAAATACGGACTGTGATATATACAGGGCAAGTTGCATCTAACTTTAGTTTTATTTATCTCCATAATATTATGTATATAAATCAAAATTACAATTATTATTATAGGCTTTAACTCGTTTGGGATCTTATTTAAAGATGAAATCGTTAGTTGTAACAAAAGAATACAGAGATGCATTTATATTAGCAGATATTACTTTTAAACATCAATTAGTGTTTTGTCCTCTACAAAGAAAACAAGTTCGCTTGAATCCACCTTCACCCGACATAACAGAAGAGCAATTATATTATGCTGGTGTAGAAACAAATCAAGCTGATGCACTTCAATTTGCTTTAGGAAATTGTGATCCATTTTCTTTAGAAGTGCTTCATAATTTTGATCCTGATAAAGAGGAGGTAAATATCAATACATATAGAAATATACAAAATTTGTACATGTACTTAAGTTTTATTTTAATCCTGAATATCGTTTGAATTGGTATTTTTCAGAATCAAAATAGATCTAATGCATGGGGTCGAAAATCAGTTCAACTTCAGCATACTAGTATTTGGTCAAGAAACTATCAATTAAAAGAAAATTTCATCGAAAAGTCTCCTCACAATAAGTGTCAACAAAAGACTGCCAATAAAGAGATGATTCTCCAAACCAATCGTTTGAGAAGGTCTATTTTACCACAGCATGAAGATAATACCGGTATTACAATATATTCTTTATGCAGTATTTTCTATTGATACAATAGTGCTAAATATAATTGCATCCAAATTTTACAGAATGTACAGAGCTGAATCGAAATGAAATTTTAAATATCTATGAATCTAAGGACAGTAGAATAGAAAATAATTTAGAAACAAACTTATCTCTTAGTGAACAAGAAACATCTCCTATTTTAATTAAACGAATAAATCCTTTCTCTACACAGACATCCACTGATAAAACTTCTCCAAGTCTTTTGTCTAGAAGCAGAAGTCGTATAAAGGGAAGAGGCAAAATACGTGTTAGAAGAACAATTATAAATGAAAACGTTACTGAAGAAAGTAAATTCTTTGCTAACACAAGTATAAAACGTGATAATAATAACATAATTGACTGTGATGCATTGTATGCATCTAGAAATTCAAATGAAATTTTTCAAGAAGAAAGAGATAGGACGACTGAAGAAAATAATGCCACTAATAACATTAATGTTCAATCCCTAATAACAACTGACAAAATGGATACAGAATCATGTTCCATGGATATAGACGAAGAATGTAATACAGCATTTATATTAAATCAGCGCAATGTTATTGATGACTCAAATAGTTCATCTAACTTTGATCTTGGAAAATCATATTTAGATACTCAAACAAATGAATTTGTTTTAAGTGAAGACAACAATCGATCAGATGATGTAACTAAATCATTTACGTCACCAGAATCTTTTGCAGATTCTGATTTCTTAATTTCACAAGAAAATATAAATACCTCAACTAGTAGTTTATTTAAATGGTCAAATACAAATAACAAAACCAAACTTTCTAACAGTAAAAAGTCCTCAAATTCTAGAGTAAGTACTATTACTGCATCAGATTATGTAGTATTCTTCTAAGATTCATATCTGACTAAGTCTTAGAACAAATATATAACATACAATCAAATATTTATTTTAGACTTCCGGTAGTAAAACAAATACGACAAGCAGTACACGTAGAAGTCAGCAATTGAGTTCAGTACAAAGGCAAGGTTTATTGAGCATGTACGGATTTGAAAAAAGAAGTAAGTATAATATATTATAAAAACAAATTTTTAAGAATCGTATAAAAATATTATTTATTTATAGAATTACTGTAAAATTACGTCGCACATGGAGATTATTATATGTCGAAGAAAGTGTGCTGTGCCATGTGTTTAATAAAAAAAAAAAGTATGAGTTTATTTGCAAAAGCAGTATCTGATGGAAATACAAGTACAAATACTATTCAACAGGATCTC